ACTTCTTTTTGAAAAAACTTAGATTTTTCCAATGAAATTTTCATATTTGCTTCTTTTAAACGTTGTATTATTTTCAATAAATCTTCTTTATGTTGTTCAATGCTCTGTGAGTAAACTATGATATCGTCAATATATAAATGACAGATTTTTCCGATATATTCTCTTAATATATCGTCCATAGCTCTCTGGAATATGCTTGGAGCATTCTTCAGACCAAATGGCATTCGTATATATTCGTATTTTCCATTGTTAACGGAAAATGCGGTTTTTTCGATATCTTCGTCTTTCATCAATATCTGATGAAATCCAGATTCTAAATCAATTGTTGAAAAGTACTTCGACTTTCCCAAATTAGATAAAATTACATTAGTATCTGGGATAGGATATCTATCCGAGATCGTTTTTTCGTTGATTTTTTTAAAATCGATTACCATGCGCAGTTTAGGGGTACCATCTGTATTTGTACCCTTTTTTGGTACAACCCATATGGGTGAATTATATGGACTCTTACTAGCCCTGATTATACCTTCTTGAAGCATTTTATTTATTTCTTTGTTAACAAAAGAATTTACTGACAAGGGATAAGGGTACTGTTTACTCCATATGGGAGTTTCAACAGTAGTTCTAATTTCCGCTTTAACATCAGTTCTAAAGGGTAAATTCATATCGATATTGCCATGACCTTTCTCAATTTGCCGTTTGATATTTAGTCTCAGGCTTTTGATTGAGTCATCGTCATCAATATTGTTTAATTTAGCTTCGCTTGCTTTTTTTACATGATTTTTTTTCGGTTGCTGCTTTGCAGCGTTTTTGCTTTTAGTGTTTATTTTATCGCTAACCTTGCAATTTTTTTGATTATTATTACTCAATTTTTTATTACGTTTTATGTATGTATTATTCACAGAATGTAGAGTTATTTTTGTTAAAGTTTTTTCAGTATCGTTTGAATCCATTATAAATTTTTCCATAAGTCCCTTATATCTTAGGACTTGTTTCTTAAAATCTATAGTTACGTTAGCTCGGCTTAATACATTAATTCCTATCAATATATCGCATTCTAAATTCGATATTTCATAAAATCTTGTCTTAATTCCGAAAATTTCTGCTTCATAGTAATATTTTATTATAGTGTATCCGTTTATTGTTTTTACTCGTTTATAAATTGCTAATTCTTGTTTATTTGCTAATATGCCTGGTCGGCAATAGCAGTTAGTTGCTCCTGTGTCTATTAGTATACGGACTCGTTGGCCTCCAGGTTTAGTTCTGAAGATGTAGGGGAGGCCGGGCCTTGGCCTAAAAAAGCACTCTCTTGAATGTTATTTATACGTTGATTTTTTACTACAGGTTGTGCACTTTGCTGTACACTCTCTAATGGGCGTTTCTGTGGCTGACTCATTTGATTAGGTTGTGGATTGGGAACGAAGTTAGGGAATCCCCGGCGATGATTAAAAGTTGGCTTCCATGAGTTTTGGTTAAATGGGGTACGTATAGGATTCGGGTTATAGAAATTGCTTTGATATCTCGGTTGTTGATACTGTGGTATTGGTTGTTGATACTGTGGTCTTGGTCCCTGATTATTTTTCATCGATGGATCTACTTCCATTGGTTCTGGTTTCGGGAAATAATTTTTATTGTTATTAGTTGGGATTTGAGGGCGTTGTGGATAACGTAGATTATTTTGATGTCTATTTACTTGGGTTGAGTTCGCATTTTTACTAAACATAAGTTAGTACGTAGTTGGTTTGATTCCAACTCTTGGGCTTTTGCTAAAGCATTAGGAAGGTCTTCTGGAGACAGTGAAAATAAAACGTTAGATAAGGGAGGATTTAATCCTGTTATAAATATTCGTGTAGCGTTCTCACGATGCTTTTTATTTAATTCTGCGGTTAGAGTGTTACTATTACCGTATGTCATTATAGTTTTGTTTATTAGCATTGTTAGTTTTTTGTTTATTTCGTTATAGTAGTCCAAAATTGTCATTGAGCCTTGTCTTAGGACACTTATTTCTTGTTCGATTATATGTATTGGTCGCTTATCCGCGTAAGCGAAGTCTAATCTACTGATTATTGCATCAAAATTCAAAACCGTACCGTGGTTGGTCAATACGTCATTAGCGTCATCAGTTATTTTATTCCGAAGAATGGTTAAAGCGGCGAAGTATTTTCTACTACCGCGGGTGTATAGGCTAAGAGAATTATTTGCGGCTTCGCGCCAGCTCACGTAAGAGCCGTCTTTACCGTTAAATTGAGGGAGACTTTTGATTACATCTAAAGTTTCGTCACAGTGTATAGTCTCGTCTATTGTTTCAGTTTTAAATTCCGTTACGGTATTGACATCGACTAATGTCTGTATTTGTCTCTTGAGACCGTCAAATTCTAATTTTAAAGATGCTGTATTAGCAGCTATAAGACGTGTTACTAAGTCTGAGGTGAAAGTAGTGTTCTCGTTTGTAGTCATGTTTGAAAACTTCCCTGTTAGTTCTTCCAGATTTAAGGATGGTTAACAATATAATTTCAATATAGTTTTAATTTCAATATATTTGAAAAAAATAATATTTTCAAATTTTATTTTTTTAATATAATTCAATAATATATTTAATATTTTTAGTAATAATTTTTTAATATAATTTTATGTTCGTTTTTTTTTTAATTTTAAATTCAATTATATAATATTTAATATTCTTAATAAGATTCTTTCAATAAAATTTTATGTTCGTTTTTTCTTCACGATGGCAATTCAAAAATGATAACAATAATTTGATTTTATTCATACAAAAATTAATTTTTTGTTAAACCTAACTCACGTTTCTCCTGATGATGAGGATACTTGATTGTTGATTGTTGTTGGGTTCTTTGCTGTCCAGGAATCCTTTTCTTCAGCTCCAGTTGGCAGCAGATAAATAATTTATTCGAAGCGGCTGATTATAGGAAGTCACTTTCTTATTAAATTATTTTAATGTCTTGAAATTAGTGTTTGTGACCGCGCGATTCTTTATTATTGAATTTGGCTTTTTTGTGATTTAATACTTCTTGGTTACTTTTAAATTTTCACCAACTTTGTAATACACTTTTATAGTTCGCCAAATGTTTTATTCAAATCACTTCCGATCACTTTCCGTATAACACTTTTTTTTCCAAGGTCCCTGCTCGGGCGCCAATTAATGAGATTATAAGTCCGGTTATATTTTAAAAAATATTTTATTTAATCAATAGCATTTACATTTAATCGTATCATAACCGTACATGAATCTAATCTAAGTGAGCAATGCTCCTACTTTTATATTCAAATAATCTGAGCTTACAAATAAAGCTTTTCACTCAAAGCTTGCTCAGATCATAATTTAAATTCTAACTTATTCTCTATATTTTCTCTTACAAAATAACTTTATGTTTTATACTTAACCCTACAAAGTGAGAGCGTGCGATAACATACATATATATATATGCATAAATTTTTAATTGATTCGTATTATTGTGTTTAAGATTTCTCCTCAAAACAAAATTTTTCTTATGAATTTTAAATTTAAAATCAAATTTTTTTTAATATAATAATAAAATATGTAGGAATTGTACTGCTTATAAGATCTTTTCAAATGTGGACTCGGTTATCTCCTCCGTTACTCGCGGTCACTTTTTAAATACCTGTTCACCGTCTCGGTATTTCATTATTTTAACGGTGTATAAAGCTGCCGTAATTCATATAGTCCAACATTTTAGTATTGCAGATGATTGTTGGAATTATTATAAATGAGTGTTGGAACACCTATGCTCGATTAATTTCATCACACGTATTTCATTGATATGTTAATTTATTACCACTATTTAAACAAGGATATGTATTGTTTTTAATTGTTAAAAATCTTGAATCTTTTTATTTAATCTCCTTCAGTACCTTTCATTTACAATTTTAATTCACGAAAATTTACAAAAATAAAAAAAATCTTCACAGGTACAAAAAAATTTCTCCCGCACATATAAAAATCATAAAAGTCTTCGAACAGCACTGCACTCGGACTTATATTTTCCGATATCTTGACAGTATCCAAAACACACCTTTTATACGACAGTTTATTCCGAGGTTTTAAAGGTACAAACGCGATCAGCACACTGGCCCATAAGGGCTATCGCGAAGACGGAACCTTTTAGGGCATTGACCTTAATCTTCCACTTACCGTAGTAACGTAGTAAACAAAGAGTCCTAAGGTAATTGTTAAGCTCAATGTACTTTCAACTGGGGAGGTTGGACCTCATGTAGATGAGACAATCATCTGCGTAGCAGATTTGCCTAATGCATTGTGAAGGAAGGGGTAGGTCAGCATTAAAAATATTTAAAAGGATGGGGTATTCGCTAGAAACAGCCATTACTCGAAACAGCTGTATGGTCAGCCAAAAATTCAATTAACTAAAAATTCCGTTTTTACAATTCACTACTGTTCGAAACCTCTCAGTTACATTTTATAATTTTTTACTTGTTATGCCATGATTTTAATTATAAAATAATTAATAATCAATTTAAAAATAAAATATTTTTGTTATAATTTGGTACTATTCAAAAACCTTTGCATTAGCAAAACAGTTTTCTTCGTAATTTTCGTCGTATTTATCTTTAAAAACTACATTCGTTTAATTTTGGAGAATCGCTCAATTTTATAAGAAACTTATAAATAAATTGTTCAATTGAAAATTAAAGGATAACTTCAAAATACCATATGAATTAAACGAAAAATTGCTTCATATTCGGTTATACTTTTTATAATAGAAAAGATTTTTACTTTCTACAATCCATAATAAGCGATGAAACTATTTTCCAGAATTGATAGAACCCTAGTTTAATGGACAATCAAATTTGCAACATTGGTGACTTTCCTTGTTCTAGTATTCTATTTTATTAAGAAAATATCCTCAGTAATGTCGTTCAGTTATATCTAAATGAGACATAAATATTGTTATATTGTATATATTGTATATAAATTTTAAAATACAAATATATGTACATTTTTACTTTGTAAATTAAATTGTTCTTTTTTATTTTCACAATCACTCTTCATTTGTCATTAGAGAGGTTGTAACATATATTCGCCTTGCATAAACATTTCTTCTTGGATAGGTGCATATTTGGTTAAACTTCCCGTTAATATTACTTTCCATTTAAGTCTTTTTTTATCTAAATTCGAAATTTTAAGCCCACATTTAAATGGATTAAAAATAATTTCCTTCTTTTTATCGCATACATTTTGTCAAATAAATTTCGATTTCATCCATGAGCTTTTTAACATCCATCGCACTAGTAATTCGTATGAAATGCGAAAAAAAACATCAGATACAGAATCCGACAGGTCTAGTATTTTAGTGACGACATTGACTCCATATCGCATAATTTAATAGACCTAATCAGCTGTAAGCAATAAGCAATAAGCCGCGTGATGTCATGATATTCCAAATTGTATATGGTACAGTAACAGCTTTGGTAGGATTTACAAGCAACATTATCTATAAGTATAAATTAATATTTTATTGACTTCTTTTTAATTAAAAATTAGTTTGAGTTTAAATAGTTAATGAAATTATTACAATCATGATTTTATATAGATACTTAGGTGTGGCTAGGTAGTAGCTTAGGTGAATAAAAAGGAGGGTAAATAATATAAAGAGATAGAATCTTTATAGTATACACATTAGACTGTTTTCACACCTATTTCTTATATTGTTTAGAGCACTATTTGTGCTCAGTATTCATTTATTATTCATTTAAATAATAAATAATGAGCCACATTATTTTTATTATTTAACAAGACTAATTCGGTATATACTTTGTGATAATGATTGAAATTATATATTTTCAATTTGAGTTCATATAACCGTAAACATATGCATATATTATACCTTTACACTATTATATTTATTGTTCTGCGATTGACACAGAACTATTCATTTTATTTAAAAATTATTCTTATCACTGCACATTAATTGAGTTTATAATGAAGTGAAAACTTCAATAATATAATATGTAGACAGTGTGGTACTCGCATAACACCAATTTGTTTGGCAGAGGTTCATGTTAAGTAAATATGGTATGTGATTCATTGCAGAGGAACTTAAGGGTGAAATATAGAAAATATATTAATGTTAATATATATCATATTGTCAGTTCTTCCGTTTTTCAGTATTTGAATTGATGAAGAAATGACTTTGAATATTTTTTCAAATGTTCTCATTTTTATCCCTCGAAAACAGACAGACTCTTTTATGTTGAAGCAGATATGTTATGTTGGATAATATCGGATTATTCAAATAAAGTTTTATATTATTCAACTCATAGGGAATATGTTTTCCGATATCTTTTTACTACCTAAAAGGCACTAACTTTACTATATTACACAAAACTTACATATATATGAAAAATATAAAAACAGCTAAATTCTTATTAAACTTAGACTAGGTGCTCTCTAATAATAACAAAATTTAAATTTATTAATAATATTATTAAGATATTTTGAAGTTACAAAACAGCTATAGACAAGTGCAGGCATTTCACCTGGACCCATGTTAAATACAACTTTTATACCGGTACCTACATCGTGTTTTTATACTTTCTTCCTCATCTCATTCCATGTACAAAGTCTTCAACCTTTTGTGTGTTTGCTGTGAAATGGGCATTTGGTTACAGCAGTAGCAACAACAACAGCAACAACAACAACAACAACAACAGATAATACAATAGAATCGTTGGCCTATTTCAGTTAACACTTTTATTTGTTAATTTCTTAAATAAACTTAATCAACTGACGATTATAGTTAACAATGAAATTTATAGACTAATATTGCTGAAGTGTTCTTGCTGGAGTTTCAATATTCGTAATGGAGGTTATTAATCTTTCAAGTCACTATACAATCAATACGTCAACTATTAGAACTTTGTGCCTTTTTTACATATTATAATCCTACTTTCTCAATAATTTCACAATTTAAATATTTTGTTGGTATCACCTTTGAGTAATATGCTAATATTTGTTTACGTATCTGACGCTATATATTTTTCGTGCTTTTTCCTAATATCATTTTAACTAAAATTAACTTGTATCACCCTAAAACAGGATTAAAGTAATGTTATATACGCTTAATATTATTGCCACAAACTCACCACCACTGCACCTAACAGTTCCTGTAAAGTATCTGCTTTTTATTCATGCATTTCATCACTCTCCAAGATGCCAACTATATAATCACCAAAAATCGATTCATCTCTCTGCCACTTGTATAATTTTTCCAGTAATAATTTCTTTCAAATGATATATGTACGTCGTATTAATCTTTTTAATTGTTACTGATTAATTTTTTTTAACTTTTGGATCAGTTTTGTTGTTAAGTGCAACTGATTTCATTTTAAATTTACATTGTCAATTTATCTTATAAATTCATTGTAAGTTGATATTGTTAGATTATAAATAATTTACTTTACTTTTAAATTTAAGTAATTTCCTCCATTTACTTTATTTGTTTTTTAGTTGTCATTTGATAACTGTCATTTACAGTGGTGGCAATAAATATGTTCTTTGATATTGAAATGACATGTTTAATAGTGTATAGTGTACATAATATTATTCGGACAAAACACTTCCACATTAGGCTTTTAGAACAAAATCTTGTAAAATTTTTTCTTATATGAGGTTAG